TCGTCGAAATAGTCGATTAAACTTTCAGACAGCGAAGAAGGGTTTTCGAAGGAAGGTTAAGGTATACCGCAGGAGTGGGAGATGAAAGGGTTGCGTAGCGCGGAAGCTCGCCATTATATTCACATTATAATCCCATCAGGGGACTCCTCTGCCTAACTGGACAGCTACGAATAATACGACGTACACGCCTCTACCTTCCATTCCACGTCTATTCGACTGTCCTCAGCTTTCTCCATCCTGCTGCCTCATCTATCCCTTACGAACTTCGTTATTAATTTCGTATTAAACGAAATTTTATAGCGATCGTAAAAAATATGCACTGAATTTAATCTTATGAGGAAGGCGTTGAGAAATTTCTAATATATACTATATTTATTATATTATATTACGTTTATCATATTTATTTTTCAATAAATCAATTTTGCGACAAATTGGAATAAGAAAATGAAATTATATTAGTGCATATTTTATGATATTAAAATTAGGATATATTGATCTTTTATTTCCATGTCAAAGATACAAAAGGATACAAAGTATAAAAAGCAAAAAAGAAAGTCGAGGCCAATTTATTTATAAATTTTTAATCACGAAATATCTGTTTTGCTCTTTATTACATTCTCGATCATCTTTTTTCAACAATCTATATTTTTCCGCAGATTTAAAGTGTCAGATAGATCCACGAAATAATTATCCAGTAGATAATTATTCATATATGGAAAACAAATATTTTGTAAAATATTTTTATGTAAATTTTACGAAAGCTTTACGAGAGTTTAAAATATTGGTATAACAATTCCACGGGTCGAGGCAAGCGAGTTGTGTTAAAGCCCCAGCAGGCATCGAAATTCCACACCGCTTATCTAATCCGAAATCACGGGCAATCAGGGGGAAAGAAACGGTGGAGGGCCCGTGTAACCTTCCGTTTCTCTTGTCATCGTGACTGTCGGCGCGCGAGAACGCGACGTGGCCGGCAAAGTGGTGAAAGCCACGACTCACGACGGCGATAACCTACTCCAGTGCGGCTACCCAGTTGCAGCTGCCTGCTCGCAAAACGAGGAATCCCAGTTACGCGCTCTCATACGAAGGAAGAACGCCGCCTGAAACTGTATAGAATGCTCTTGTGGAGATACCAGCGTGTGCACGGTGGTTTACTTCCGCTGGAGGCACGCGGTTCAACCGAGTCCATACACACGCATACACACACATGGGCAAAGAAAGAAGAACGAGGACAAAGAAACAAGAAGACGAGGATGAGACGAAGAAAAAGATGAAAGTGGAGAACGAGCGAGAAGGAGAGATAGAGATGGATAAAAAGACGAGTAATAAAGAGTAAGAGATAAAGAAGAAACTAACGAACATGAAGAAGAGTATGTAGAAGTATCGTATAGAGAAACTAGAATGAAACGAATAAGGAGATAAAGGAATGGAATGGTGGAGTATGATTACGAGGGGAAAGCAGATGAAAGAGAAAAGAGAGAGAGGGAGAAAGAGAAGAATGATGCAGACACAACTCCTTGCCTCTCCTTGGTTGCTTCACTGTGATTCCTTCTCTTTTTCTGTGTACGTCTCTCTCTCTCTCTCTCTTTCATCTTTCTTCGTCTTCCTCTTCCTCTTTGTCTCGCTTGTGATCCGTTCGTCTTCTTTCTCTGATGCAGAAAAAGCCCGTTCTTAGCCTCTCTGTCCCTCTCTTGTTCTGTTCGGCCAATTCCTCGTATTATACCAGGTTGCGGCGTGGAATGCGGGCGTCCTTCGTTCGCTTCGAGCAGCGTCCAACCGATGAGCCCCGCTAGCGTTATCCTTCGCCGGTCCTTCGCATGCGCTCCTTAGGGCTCGGTAAAATTAACCTGGAATACTCGACCGAGACGCCCGCCTCACTCTCTTCTCTCTCTGCTTCAGATTCGTTAAACTCGCTCACGCGGCTTGCACCAACGGCATGCCATACTGCGCGTGTGTGTCCTCCGTCTATGTAAGTTGTATATACGCGCATACAAGCGCATGCACAGCGGTCGCGTAACAGAGTCACGGTGTATAGAGACGGCGATCGGCATACTTGGTGCGGGTTTCTCGGGCTTATTGACGATGAAATTAAGGCGATTTGTCGAAGTAGAGCGGTTTTATTGAGAGTTTGCGCTCCTTTCAGATTGTGGATAGTGAGAGAACAAGCGCGAGCACATGCACATACACGCAAATACGCAGTGCGTTCTTCTTCGTTCACGATGTCGATATCACGCCAATTCATTTTTCCACACATACGTGAAACTTTATATACCTATCAAGGGAACTTGTGTACGCCGTTTCTCCTATTATTTCTAATAATTCTTGATGATATTTTGCAGAATTTTTTGTACTCGCGGAAGATCGTAGCGCGATTCGCGTGAAAAATTATCGTCTTCTTCGTTGGAGATATTGCGGCAAAATTCAATGTTGCGGAAAGCAATGTACTTTTGTACACAATCTTACCGCATCCATCTTATTTGAATGCGAGTACTTATTCTTTTCAATTTTTTTAAATCATTCTTTTGCATCTATACATATAGACGTATTCGATTCCTGGTATTTGGTACGGAATCAAACTGCTCGCACAGGTAGAATACTATAATCTAAAGGCTTATTTGTGTTGTTGCAGGTGCACCTGTGTGAAGCCGGAGGCGGAGGATTCGGAGAACGGGAGAATCTAGGTATGATTGCTTTGTGGAATTTCAAGCGCAAGAATGTGGCTTTGAATGTATCTATGTAAATCATGTTCTCGGTCACATTCGAAGAATTGATTGATTATTTTAATGCTAAAAAAGAAAAAAACAAATCAAATTTTACTTTAAGGAAATCTGAATAACTTCGCATAATAAAATATTAATAAATACATCTTTAGATATACTTACAAGATTTGATAGGAAATTTTGATATGAACTTAAAATGAGAATTGTTTAGATAAGAATAACAAAGGTAATGTATAAGATATATGATTAAAAAATATAATAAATTATGAATTATTTGGTTAAAATAATTAATCAATATTTTTAACATAGTTCAAACATAAAAAGTGATTGGCATCAACTTTTAATAATAAACTGTATTTACTTATCAGTCTGTCCACAACAATTGTTTCAGACTTTTTTTTCAAATACCCACTTCCTCATACTAATAAGATGGTATTACTATGACACATCAATCACGCTTTAATGATACTTACTTGTCTATCTTTATCAAATGACAGAATATCGTTTGAATAAAAATACATTGAACATATTCGATTCCTTCGTGTTTTTAACATGAGACTTACATTCCTTAAAGTCTCTAGAAACGCATATATTTTCAAACGAACAGGTTTTATCTATATAGAGAATGTTGCATCGAATGATTGAAATACATGAATCACGTCTTCATTCGAATTCAGATCAACGAACCTGCATCATTCGTCGATGGGGAAAATTGTACGGTGGAAGATATTTCTTACTTTCGCGTGATCGTTCCGTACCGCTTGATCGATGGTATCTATAATAAGAACATAAGATACAGCAGCCAAGTTTTACCGATGTTAAATGGTTAGTTTCGCCGATCATTTTGTTTCTTTGTTTCCATCCATTATACGGCGTAAAGTTTAAGTTTCAATTACGAAGTCGCGATCTGCACGCATAGTTACATACACGAGATGCATCGTAATTGGCTCGTAAATTCCACGTATATAAAATGTAGACGTGTACAAAATTGAGCAACTGATATTTATGCAATTAAAGATGTCTTTTAAATATATTATGTATAATTGAGAAAGTCAATCATGAATATTTCAAGTTTTTAGTTTTTTATATTTGTTCGAGAAGGAACAAGCATTTTTATAGAAAAATCTAGAGATATAAATTATTATTTTCACTTACTATTAATTATATCGTTTCGATCTATAGTTTCTCAAGCTGAAGTAATTTTTTTTGCTCTTGCTCATTCTTTTTTTTTTTTTCTGTAACATTGTACAATGAACTTTAGCGTTTCATTGCTATAATCATTATCATCGTATATTAAAAATAATCATGGGAACCCCTGTTGTGCATATTTATGAATCTTCCATAATATTACTTGCTCTATATAGTAATTACCACAGGTTGATTTACTTTATTACTTCATTGTTATGCTAATATCACCTATAATAACCGTGTTCATTATTTGATAATCATATAAGGAGGAGTCGTTAGAAATATATAATATACATATGGTACATACATTTATTCGATGATATCTGGGTCACTTATTTTTAAATTAATTGAATGAACTGGCATTAATAAGAAACTAATTAACAACTAAATTAATAATATAGTTGAATGACTTAATATTAACAAACTCTTATTATAACCTCCAAATATAACCTCCAAATAATATCATCAGTCTTATTTTATCCTAATTTTGGCTCATATTTAATAATTTATTTTAAAAAATATCTCATAATTAAGATATTTTATATTTTTGTAAAATATATTAATAATTTACTATTATTATGTTTAAATTTATTGTGTACATATAATCGTATTAATGACGATATATATATATACATCGAATAAAACAAAAAATTTCAAAAATTCAACTAATAGATAGGTATAGGTCTATAATCTACGTCAATAAAATAAATTTATTTTTATCGATTATTCAATATTTGTAAATTTATCGTAACATTATAACTTACATAAAAAACAGAGATTGTGAGGCTCGTAAACCATAAAAACTAAGCTTCAACCATTCAAAGTACAGGAGTATTTTCAAGTAAGCAAATTGTCACGTGTATGCACATGCGAAAAATGCAGATATGTATAAATATATGTGTTTATCTCATCGTTGACAAAAAATACGGTTCAGCATAAATTTTGCAAAGAATACTGTCCATCTTCCGATTCGATGTATTCATGTAAAAGAAAATACATTAAAAGCGCGTGCGCATGAGCATGCGCACGAAATAAAACTGCGCACAAAATTGCGCACAAACTACACGTTCCTTAGTTAACGCGCGCGCGTGAATAAACAAGTACGAAGTTTATTTTAATGGTGTTATGTACATTATACTACGTTGTTTGTTAGGTATGTTATGGTTTGTATGTATGGTATGAGGAAACGAAACGACTGTATGTTGTTCGAAACTATGTACGAGTTCTGGCGAAGTCGAAAATATGCCCAGTGGCTATCACCCACGTTTACACCATAGCTATAAAAGATTTCTATATAATGTGATTACAGTCGCCAACTAGTGTTTAACGATACGATCAGGATATCAATGAGATATATTATAATTAAGAAATTTATCTTGACAACTTGAAATAAAAAGATGATCATATAATATGTCTTCATTGTAATTAATATTCGATGTTATTTTTATATGTAGAAAAGATAGAACTTGTTATATTTGTATTATATGTCACATTTTTATATTTTGTGAATTTATTTATATAAAATTTGAGTGATTTATCTTTTTATTTTTTTTTTTTCGAAAAAATAACTAACTTTAATTAATCTTTTATTCTTGGAATTCATGGAATGTGTAATTGAAATTTTTCCAGAATATAATTCTCTGAAATAATTAAAATATTTCTACTATTTTAGATAGAATATTATTAAATGAATTTTATCTTAATATTTTAAATATATTATACATTAAATATATTAATATTGTTTGATAATTAAGGAAAATAAAGGAAGTATATTCAATATTAAATTAAATAAAACATTTAGAGTTTAGATGCTGTTCTAAACGACCATGACAGTAGAATATATTCCGATGTTTTTTATAAGATTAATACTGCATCACATTCATCAATATTTTAATTATATACCTTTTACATAAATTATTTATAAATGCTTTTATAAAAAAACAAAAAAGAAATGGAATAATTATTATTTCATATGTAACTCATTTATGTGAACAAAAAAAAATATTTACATCTCTTATATTTAAATCTCTAATGATCATTTAATTCTCTCAAATAATAAAATAATCACAAGAAAATATTTCTAACATTATTAGGAATGCGTTTGCGTAATCAAAATTCGAAAGTTTCCTTATATATCTCATATTTCTTTGAAATTTTCGTTCTATCGTTTCTCTTCTATCTTCTCTTCTTCTTTTATATCTGGTAACACATCGTTGGCTTCTTTTAATAACGATAGTTTTTTGTTTTTTTGTTCGAACCATATATACACTGCATTAAAACCGATAATTGAAATAATTAAAACGCACAACTCACCGATGGTTACAAGTAATAATAATTAAAATGGAACGGTAGTGCGCGAACAGGAACGTAATACGAAGCGCGAATTCGCGTATAATTCATCATTCGTGTATTCCGTATTCCACGTAGACGGTGTACGTGCTGAGAGAAAGACTCGTTTCGTCTGAGGAATGCATGGCATTATAATGAGAACGCGGCAAGACCACGGTGCATCTCCGCGACTCGATTATTTTGTTTAATTACAGGGAACATTAGACAAGTCACATCCGCGGCGTTACATGCTCCTCGGAATTCTTCTGTGAAAAAAAGTATCGCGGCTCTATTGTTCGTCTATTGCCACATACATAGCTATGTAATTATTCATACTATTCATAATTATTCACACAATAATTTTTTATACAGCATCCTGATTATATTACAAAGGACGTATAAATGTCTTGTGTATTATCATTAATACGGATGACTATTAGATTTTGATTAACTGCTATTTATCGTTTGTGTGATTATAATTGTAATTCATTAAATTATAATCACTCAATAATGACATTCATGATTTCTGAATTTGTTTGAATAATTATGAATAGTTTAATATGTTCATAATTCTGTATTGTCAATAGAATACTTTAGTTGAATCAGTTCTTATTTGAAGCATTCAAAGAAAAAATAGTGTAAATCACAAAATTTTTAATTTAAGAGAAAAATTATCTAATAGAAAAATTATTTGAGTTACAAAAGAAAATATATTTGTACCATATCTTCTATCTTTTTTTCTTTTTTCTTTTCTATCTATTTGAAGATGTAACAATTATGGCAAATAAATGATGAAATATTATCTAATAGAAAAATATGCACATTAAACAAATTTTGAAATTTTAATTTTAATTTTCTCGAAAAAAATTTTATATTATTGTAATATAAAAAATTACATCCTGTACAAATAAAAATAAAAAAGAAAAAATTTCGAATGCAAATATAACATACGCTACTATGAATATTGTGGATAATAGTTGTAATTTTCTCAATAGCTTTTTCAACTGATATGCTTATCTTAATTTTTCCTAGAATAGTTCTGTTTTTTAGAGTACTTATCTAAGCTTCGAGAAGGCGAGAGAAGAAAGGGGAAGAAACAAAAAAAAAATTAACTGCATTCCTTATGAGCTCAATTAGCGGAAATTTCTAACTTTATGACAGAAAATACTAGTCGTTTCTTCATTTAAAAGCCCAATATATAGATAGATTATCGTTGCTTACTGGATGATAACAGTGCAAAGCATAGATTCCATAAAATAATAGTGGTTGCCTCGATTGTTGATTCGATTAATATTTGCCGCATATTCATACTATGGTTACACTAAATATATATTTAAATATTAAATATTACTTAAGGATAATTGATTTAAGATCCTATTATTTGTAATTATTTTAAATGCTTAGATAAATTCAGAAATGAATTTCATTATCTATAGTTATAAATCTTTCTATAATATATAATTTAATTAAAAATATAATAATGATATTTAATCTTTTGATATTTAACTTTTAAAGTATTAATTTAAAAAGGGATAAAATTAATTATTTCTGTAGTATTTATTTATACATTATTTATATGTTGAATACAAAATTTATTTATGTAACATTAATAATAAATTAAAATCATGATCGATTATGGTGTTTTTTAATCAAACTTTGACATATTTTATGATATTTTTTTCTTTTAGAAAACACATTAAAAAGATTTATTAAATTTTTATATATTTTAAACAAAAAATAAATTATATTATTTCATTATATTAAGTACGTATTTAGTTAATAGATTAATTTCTTCAATATAAATATTCTAATGATTTAAAAAAAAATTAATTCATTTATTGTATATATTTTTTGTATGTATATCATATATGTTATCATACATGTAATATTTTCTAGTTTAATTTATAATTAATAATCATTTACAATGTTCTCATTATTTTGTGTAACTTTCCACTTCAAAATCTTTACAGTTCACTGTTCTTACATAATTCTCTCAATGTTCCACGTTAAATTAGTGGTGAACAAGCAAAGCATATGAGAGATGCGCGAATTGCGCAATGTAATTACACGGTCGGACGAAAGACAGTAGTGGTTGCTCAACATGGATGGCGGCAACCATAAAGGCTCCGTTTCAACAAAAGTTCAACGAAATTCGAATACCGCAAATATTCAAAACAGTGACAGTCGCGCGTTCAGGCTCAATTTCTTTAACTGCGTATCTATTCACATTCCCGAGTTTCTCGATTGATCAATAAAAATGTGCAGAATTTTAATCATTAAGTAAACCACACACTAACATTTACGAAGTGTTTCCATGTCGATTCCTACGCGTTTAACGTAAACGAACGACTACTGTCTTTAAGAACTGGCCCTATCAATGCATCAACGACAAGTGCTCATAAACAAGCCCTTGTTTGCTAACATTTGTTTAGTGGAAGTGCTTGACAAATGTTTGTCACGGATTGCCTGCTATTAACATTTCAAAAAGCTCACAAACATTTGCAAGCATTCTACGTGACCGGTGAATACGCGACTTTAGTAGTCGAAACAAAGCTCGAGGTGGTCCACTCGGTCTCTCCGTACCGCGTTATTTCCTTACGTAAGCGCTGCACAGTGCACGGGTCGTTGCTTCGTTCTGTATGTCACCGTGTGCCGCGCACGGGAACACCAGTCTGACGGCATTCCATCGTGATTTGCGAACGTTTCGGTAAACGTTCAGCACACCCGTGGTTCGCGCGGTGTTTACGTCTGCTCCTCGTTGCAGAGGAGGAGAAGAGGTTGGCCGCCTCGTGGCGATAATCGGAATTCCGAAAGGAAAGCAAGTTACGCGTAATATCGGCCACGATTTCGTCGAATCGTATTTCTTGAGAGATCTTCGATTACAATTTTTTTTCTCTTATTTTTTTATTACTTTTTTTATTTTAATAACAGAATTGCTCAGTGTAAACGTCGTTCTGGTTGGTTTACGCGACACGTGTCTTGTTCAACGGATTTGGACTCTGCTCCGCTTGTTTTTAGGTTAAGGCCAATTACGAGAATTCTTCGAGTGGCGCGTCTAACCGTTGTAAATAAACGATTGATAGGTTAGGTCTGTTTCCTTTTACGATTGGACGTTAAAAATATGGTGATGGTGATGTTGGAAATCATGCGATGATGAAATAATACTACGAGAACCAACGTTTTGAAAATTGCATAATAGAATTGTAACTTGTTAATCGTTAAGAGATAATTTAAATGTTCATTATTTTAAAATTATGTATGAGTATAAAAAATTTCTTCGTAGCATATTTATTATATCACTCATGACACGAATTAATTAATTAATATCAAGAAATCGTATCCAATATTACCGTACTATGATATTCGTTTGAATTTTTTAATCGTTCTTTGTGTAATTTCGATGCTAAAATTGGCGTGAAGAGATCAGGATCTATATCCTGTGGTTCTTCATTTAGAATTAGGTTTGAAATCCAACTGAAAATCCAACCTACTCCGAAACTTAAGACACTTCCCAAGGGACAGTACCACATATATGAAATGCGATACAGGTAGAAGTATGAGTCATTGTTACTTTGCCTGTAACAGAAAAACCGCATATGTAATTTATTGCCTCTTAGAAACCAATTATGTTAAATTGTACTACGTAGAACAAGTATTAATTTTATGATTAAGGAAAGCATTAGCAATGCTTTGATATAATAGATGTGTATGTAATATTATAGTAAGAATATAATATCATCTTTTTTAAAACATAATTGTGATTTAGAAAATATATATTTATTTATATATATATATTTTTTATTGTATATTTACTTGATATATATGTTTGGATAATCGTATAATTCTTTTTCATATTAAAATGTATCTTAAAACCGTTATTCATTTTTTGAGAATCATTACTTTGATATTAATAATTATTAAATTAAAATAAATTACTAAATTATTGAACAATAACAATCATATATAATATATATAGATTTTTTTATATAATGAATTATGTTTTTAAAAATAATCAGGAAATAATTTATCAATAAAATATTTAAATATAATAATAGTAACAAATAAATAAATATTAACTTTTTGTAAAAAAAAATAGATTATATATTAAAAATATCATATAAATAAAAAAAATAAACTTATGTTATCAAAAAATTGATATTAATAATTCTTACAATATTATATCACTATAAAAACAATATATACGACTTTCTAAATGCTATTTCTCATCGACTAAACGTCAAAGAAGATCTCCAATGATAAAAACTAAAAAACAGTTGCGTGTATCAGAGAATGTGCGTGAACAGAGACTGAAAATATGCATGGTCAATAAATAGCAGGCGAATTCCTTACTGGTATTCAAAATGCAAATTCGACGATTCCTCGTAATCATAATGCGTGGCATTGCTACAGTTAGACGTGATATCCACCTTGTTCGGGATTGGTGGTTTTGGCTGACCGAAACCAATCCACAGGGAGAAAACGAGGCTAGTTAGTAGACCGACGATCGCTCCTCTCTGATTTCCCAATCTTGTAAACATGCCTAAAGTGAACATGCCGAACACAGGACCGCCCACCACACCAAAAATCGTCAGAGCTGCCTGAAGGAGTCCACCAAGAAAATGTCCCATAAATGCCAATCCTATACAACTAATACCGACTATAACGGCCAGAATCTTGCTGATGATGATTGAACCCGTTGCGGTAATCTCTTTATTCCTGAAATAATATTAATTATATCAGTTGATTATATAAATCTTATGCATTTAAATAATTAATTGATATGTATAAAATGAAATAACCAATGGTAGATATTCTAATTATACAAATCTATAAAGCTTCCTTTCGCAAAGCTTAACAAGTTACAAATTATAGGTTATGTTAATAAATTCGTCTGTATAATGATTTCATATTATTCAAATTTCATATTAATAAAAATTCTATCATAACAATCATTACAATTAATGATATTTGTAATATATTTGAATATAAATCGTAATATTATCATTAAAAATCTTTTAAATACATATAATTGTAAATTCTACAGTAAGAAGGATCCATTTTTATATTATAAGTAATATTCTTTATTCCTTATTCTCTATTCCTTTCGTTGCAGGATTCTCAATTGCAGTATTTTCTATTCAAATTTTTTCTCGAGAGCATCATCCAAGATAATTAAAAGATAATTTAAACTAATCGAACCAAAGAATTTCCCCTTGGTCACCGTACAATAATATTAGAAATCTAAAATACATAATGACACATTGCTTGACGAAATATTTATTAAATTCTACGAGGCTCACCAAAAACGACATATGGGTTTGATAAAATCTTCCAGTATAACTGCGGCCAAGGAATTCACCGTGGCAGAGATGGTGCTAAGTCCAGCGCTGAAGATGCCTGCTATAAAAAGGCCGGGCACACCTGGATACGCGGAAAGCATGTCCATCACATAAAGCGGCATTAATTGATCATAGGATCCGATCCTTCCGCTCTCGAGGGGGTCGCAGTTACGATACTGGGTGTATATCGCCAATCCAGTGAAACAGAGGCCCAAGGACATGAGGGAGGATAATGGCCAGCTTATCCAAATGGCAGATTGCGCGTGTTTCACGTTTCTGTGAAAAGCATGAAAGTCGAGGGAGATGATTTTACAGACGATTATTATTAAAGTCGAATCGGCAGCCGTGGCGGACGAGGAACGATTTATCGAACGATCGCTACCGGCGGTATGCATGCGAGATGCGTGGCTGAG